GTTAGGTTATGCTGCATCTATTTATCTTATCTTATCTTACCTTATCTTATCTTATCTTATCTTATCTTATCTTATCTTATCTTATCTTATCTTATCTTATCTTATCTTATCTTATCTTATCTTATCTTATCTTACTACATTAATGGCACTTTTTGGGGTATTTTAAATCACTAGTAGCAGCTGCTATAAAAGATGAAAACTAACTGTCACATATGCATTCATGTAAGTCCATCTGTCCATCGGTATATACAGTAGTTAAAGTGGGGTTCTTTGATTAATCTCCACTAACTTAAAAATATATTTAACACCCCTTATAAAAAACAAATACATCATTTTGACCTCGATTCCCTTATGATATCTGTGAGCCAAAGGAAATTCTGACAAGTTGCGAAATATTATTTCAAAGTTGCTACAAAAGCGTTCAATTAATCATCGCCACGAAAGCGGCTAATCGTCAAACTGTTGGCTATGCTCTGGGAAGATAGCGTCATTGGCAGGATGGAAACATTTTTGAAGCTGTGACACGATTATGTTGATTTATATGTTGATTTTGGCTTTATTGACAGATCTCTCTTCTGTTTTAAGCAAGCCAAGCTAAAGCACCGTCTAACAGTCCAACACCCTAATAACCCAAGCAAATCCTTCAGTAAACCTAAAAGATCTGTATATAAAATAAAGAATAAAGAAAAATAATCAAAGAGCAAAACGTTGCAAATGTAAGGAGGTTACACATCCATTCTCTAAGTAATCACACATCAGCGATCTCTGTGCTTAGCACAGACAACATTTCACTTCATACTTCCCTGATTTTAAAACTAAAGTTTAGGACTGTTTGTGCCCGAGTCGCAACAAACTGGTGGATTTATCCTGAAATACCAGCAGGTGTCTCACGCAGTATTTAGGCCAACCCGTTAAGTATCCTGAACTCTCAGACCATGACAACTTTGCTCCCACTCCCTCTTACCCATGTGAGTCAGTCCTGACTCAATGAAGACTCAGTCAGGAGCTCAGGACACGTTTCTATGTGGAAGATGATATTAAACACAGCTGTAACTGTCAGGTGCATCCCACTGGTTTCAGGTGGGGTGTTATCAGTGCGATTAGAAAAAAAGAAAAAAGTTGTGCTGTAATACTTTTTATATGTAAATGTTTGAACAAAGATTTTTTAACAACAGTGCAATGTTCTGTAAAATTTCTCTCCTCCCTCTAAGAAGTGATTTAAAGGGTCATGAAGGTTGCACACAGAGCTCCCCGCATTTGACAGGGTACACACTCGTGACATAGAGACACAGAAAAACAACAGGCAATTTAGAGTTGACAGAAACCCTAACAGTTTAGAGAAACCTGCAGAATCCAGGTGTTGCGACATTTCTGTGAAATGTTTTGCTTCTTGTATTTAGCACCCTTCAGACCACATAAATATGTATGTGGATTCCTAAATTAACCACTTACTAATCTTAGAAAGATCAAGAAGTACTGACCACTATAACCACCATCAAAATGATGCTGTGTTATCAAAGTGTACCTTTTATATTTTTCCAATATGTTGCAAACATACGAGGGTTCAGTGTGTCTCCATGTCTCACTTTCACTTTGGACTTTGACTGGAGTGCAAACAGAACTGTCTGGCTACATGTAAATTACCTGAATGCTTTATAACAGTGAACTTTGTGTCAGCTGTCTGACCAACTATTCATAAGTCTGTAATGTCTGTAGTGAAAATATTGGACAGAGACCCCAAGAAGCAGTATCACTGAACAGACTATCATTTACACCGTCTTCACTTAGACTTCTGGTCCTTACGGAGTTAGAAAACACTCCTCTGACGGCTAAGCTCAGTCTCAGAGTGTTGAATCAGATTCTTATTCTTAATTTATCTTAATTTAATCTCTCCCCAGAATCTTTGTGATATTAGAAAACCACATCAGCTGTTGAACGCTGAAGTATTAGATTTTTCAGGAGCCGATCTCAACAATTGCTGGCAAATATACAGTGTTGGGCTTTTTAACTAACTCCTGTAGGATTCAAGCTTCCAGATATTCCAGGTCATGTTTAGTTTTTCCAGTTGTTGCTTAATTCTCCCTCAGGTTTCCCTTTTATCAAGACAGTATCCTCTGGGTTTCTCTGCCCAAAGCAAATTCTTTGTACCAAATCAAAACTAAAGCTTTCGTAAAAGTACCCCTCAGAACTGATGGCAGTTTTCTGAGGCATTAGGCCTATAATCTTCATTCCCATCTGATCCAGCTGGGTTTTAACTCAAAATGTTCATTTTGGGTTGGCAACATAACACAGTTTAATAGTACAGTTTGCCTGAAGACAAAGAGTTTGTGCTGTTTGCTTGTGGCTTTGCCCTCAGTGTCTGATCATCATTGGCTCTGCCCTGATCCAATCTCCTTAACCCCTGGACCTGAAAGTGTCTGAGCACAAACTAAGACCCAGGTGCTCTCTGAATAATATAGGGCATATAAATGCAGACTTGGATTTTTTTTTCCAACAAGCCTAAGAAATATAAATGTTCTGGTGTTATCTGTTACTGCACTACAGCCGTAAACATCTCATGTGTAGCAATGTTTCTATACTAATGGGTAGAAATGCACTTAAGAGGTTTGTATCACTGTGGTAAATCTGATTAAAAATGCAACAAAACAAAAGAAAAAAATGGAAGTCGGGCTGAGGATTTCCTGACATTCCGTTTCTTTTCTCGCTGGGTAGAAATGCACTTAAGAGGTTCGTATCACTGTGGTAAATCTGATTAAAAATGCAACAAAAGACAACATGTAGTAAAACAAAAGAAAAAATGGAAGTCGGGCTGAAGATTTCCTGACATTCCGCTTCTTTTCTCGCTCACTATTTGCATTTGATGGTGTCAATGTGACCCACTGAGTGTCTGCCTCCCAGCCTGATCATCTTAGCCGTGGCCATAGATTAAAGTCTATAATCCGGATGCCTCTCTCCTCAAGTCTACTTCCTGAATGTCTGTTGGACCTTGTTTACTTTCAGGCCTGCTCTTTTAATTGAAGCCCTTTCACCTATTGCTACATTAACCCACAAGACTCTAACTCCCTCTTCTAAGTAAAAGAGTCTTTGCGAGGGGGGGCCAGAGTGAAAATGAGGACACAAGCAGCTGGTCCAGCAAACAGAGCTTCTTAGTCTTTATTGTAATCTGGGATAACTTGTCTCCGGTAGGAGGATACTAACATAAACAAAGAGACTAGTGAAGCAGTTCACAATATGTCTTTTAACCCTACTATAATTATTAATACAATTAGAGATCATACAAAAGAAAAAATAATAATACAACATTAATTGTGCTGCATTTCTGCCATGTTTGCAGTCTTTTATTTTTAATAGCATTTAAAACAACATCCAAGTTGCAATTTTGATTTGAAAATATAGCTAGCATATCTGCCTTTCTGAACCTTCATTCCCATCTGATCCATCTGTTTGTTTGTTTTTAACTCAAAATGTTAAAAAAACAACAACAACAAAAAAAACATCTCACATGTGTCAGCATGTGTCAGTGTGAGATGGACAAACACAAGAGACTCATCAGCCAAAGGCAAGTAATAAACACCATCTATGTCTGAAATAAAGACAATCCTAGCAGCTAGTTACACCATAATTGCTTATATTAGCAGAGCAGTATCATCCATGAACCTACTGTGATGTGGACAGATTAATCGGCCACAATATCACCAATAAACCTGCAAATCCTTAGATCAATAAAATGGGATAAAACATGTTACCTACTGAGCATTGAAGGTGGTGGTAGGTAGGTTTAATTATCTTAGGACGGAGGTTTTAGCCACAGACTGTATATAAAAGATGGACAGAGCTTCCACAACATAACTTATGATTTTGTGAAGTCCCATTTTGAACCATTTTGAGATGAGACAATGAGGGGTGTGTCTGACTTTGAAGCCATACGCTTATTAGCTGCCAACTTGTTTTTGGCTCATAAGTTGTTAAGTTGCCAGCTAATGAATATTTCCTGGATAATCCTCCTTTCTGAAACTTAAAGTTATAAAACATTACAAAATGGACTCAATGCTTTATACAGTATAACCAGAAAATACTTCCAAAGACCATAAACTCAACAGTAAAGTATTTACTGTGGTCCCAGTAGAGAGACATCTATTGGACTGTGAGTCATTCTGCAAACATAGCTTTTGCCCCCTGATGGCCATTAACCCTTTAAAACCGGTCAGAGCGGGCA